CTACAATTGTACACTGTACTCGGATTAGACAATCGTCGAATAGATAAATGGTATTTGCGACTTAAAGCGAAAACATGCGAATGTCAAACTTGAAAAAGGCTACAAGAAACCCGAGAAAGGTCACGATGCCGCCCACGAGAATCGGGAGCGCGTGTGTGAGGTCGGTCGTCACGAGGGGTGGCGAGAGCACAAACGTAAGGAACTGGCCGAGGCAGTTGGCCGAGTTGAAGGCGCCAGCAAAGAGACCGAGGCCGTTGAGTTCGCCGTACCCAATGACGTGCAAAATCACCGGAATTTGCATCGAATTGACCGTATTGAACGAAATCGAGGCGAGCGCGACGATCGCGGCGCCGAGCGGCTTGCTGTGGACCCACGAGAGCACGACAAAGAGCATTTGCGGCAACAGCGCAAACGTGAAGACGCGCCGGGCGCCATACATCTTGACGAGCCGCGGCATCAACACAAGATACGCGAGGTCGACGAATGACGCCAGCGCGTCGACAAACCCCAGCGCGTACTTGGCGCCTTCATTGTACGCGGCTTGAGCCGGCGAGCACGTGTCACCGCAGTCGTCGGCGCCGGTCGCATTGCCGTTGTTGACAACGAGGCCAAAGAATTGCGCCTTGTTGCCGTTGTAGCACGAGAAGCCAAACATGATCAAGATGAAGACGACGCAGTAGACGGCGAGGAGCCGCGGGAGGTACTTGATGCCGTGGTAGACGGCCAAGAACCCGCTCTTGAGGTCGCGGTGGGGCTGGTCGGGCACATGCGGCGTCTCGCGAAAGCAAATGCAGACGGGGAGGACGGTCCCGACGAGCACGAGGATGAGCATCGAGAGGAAGGTCACAAAGGTATCTGTCGCCGGCCCGAAGAGCGAAATGTAGCCCGAGACGAGAAGTGCGCCGAGCGTGTTGTACGCCTGCGCAATGCTAAAGGCCGTGACTTGGCGGTCGCCGGCAAAGTCGGCGATGAGCAGCATCACGGGCACTTGGGTCACGTTCACTGAGATGCACATGCACACGTAGAGGAAGATCGTGTAGCCGTCGCGGTAGGCCGCCGGCACAAAGTCGGTGAGCATCATGAGCACCCAGACGAGGACCGTGCCGAGCGTGCCTGCAAGGAGAAAGGGCCGCCGCCGACCATAGTGTGACGTGCAGTGATCGCTAAAGACGGCAACCGTCGGGTACACCAGCAAGCCCGTGATCGGACCGATGATCTGCATAAGCTGGACCACCCAGGACGCGAGGCGCGTCTCGAGGGTCGGGCTGAACGCGGCCCAGTACGCCGACCACGCCATCTGCATGGCCATGCGAGGTGCGCAGAGGAGGAGCATCGCGGGGATCGAGCAGCCCGGCAGCGGCGACGACTCCATCGTCGTAAAGTCGAGGCTGTGGCTCATGGACGACGCCCTGCTGCTCGGCATGCTGGCGTTGGTGGCAAAATGAGGCCAGATCCGAGGACAGTACAGTAGGAGTAGCCTGTTGCGGCGGAGGATGTGTCACATGCTTGATGGCCGACCGGCAATGCGTGCGGTACCGATACACCGTATGACACGAGCACGACATACCCGATCACCTCGTTCCTGTCAAGCGAGAGGCCGTCGACGATGGCCTAGACCTCGAGCATAGCAGAATTCGCGCCAAGGACCTGAGAGCGTCGGAGCTGCTATCAGCGCCCAGTTGCTTGGCATCCACAACCACAAGCAAGTCCAACTCTCGGATCATGTTTGTTGAAATGACCCTTCTTGTCGCCGTGTCGACGTTGCAGTTTGGGTGACCGCTTGAACTTGGCGACGGTGGGCGTGCGTCGTGGGTGTATCTCGCGTGGGCACAGTACACTGCTAGCGTCGGAACCTGCCCCACGCGCATCGGCACTGACGCCTTGGCGTATCTACGCGTTTTGATACCGGTTTATTGAATCCTGGCATCCTGGCGTCCGTCCAGCGGGCGACTGGTCGCTTCCTTCTCGCTGTCAAGT